CTGGTGATGGTTCCAATGTGCAGCCTCAGCTCTCACCAGGCATCAGGCTGCCGAGTTAAAGGAAAACATTTCTAAAAACCAACCCCGGCAACCAGGAAATGAGGAGAGTCGTCCCTGGTCTTGGCGCACGGAGAAACGCACACGCCACACGGGGTCAGCCAGAGGAAAGAGAAAGGCAGAACAAAACTGTCTCTAGAATTTCTATAAACTCTGGGACATCTGTAAATCAAAAGACATCAAAGTCCAAGGGCAAAGACACGTTGGAGAAAGCTGCCTGCGACAAACACACCAGCCAGAAGGAACGTTTTCAAGGCAGCAAGAAAAACACAAAAACCCAATTGAAAAATAGGCAAAGGACGTGAACAGTCATTTTGCAGACGACACACAGGCACTGACAGGAAAAAGCGCCCACGTTACCGATCACCAGAGAAGAGCAAGCGTGGACAGCCAAGGGCCTGCGCCTTCCCGCCTCGTGGGCGGTGCTGTCGGCGTGGCGACAGCATCTCTCTGTGAAGCAGCCGGACAGTGAGTGGCAGAGCTTGCCATCCTGCCTCTGCTGCAGCGATTTTGCCTCTGTGGACCGAGTCTAAAGAACTAATCCAAGAGAACAGTACAGGAAACTGCTCACGAGGCTAGTCTAATAAAGGAAAAAACGTGGAAATGGGAAATGTAGAATAAGTTAGCCTTTGTCCTCATGCTAGAGTAATAGCCAACTAAAATCGTGTTTTCAAAGAACGTTGTGGAGAAACGATCGTAAATTAATAACCATATCCAGTGAACAAAAAAGAATAAAACTACTCATAAGATTTGGGTGATTTTTATTTTCTCCTTTTATTTTTTTTATGTTTTCCAAAGTTTCCACAATGAATAAGGACCACGTTTATAACTAGAGCAAAGGGAGTCGAGGTTATTGTTCACAGAAGGCCGAGGCTGGCACACACTCCGGGACATCCCCGGGAAGAACACGGGCCGGCTGGAGTGGAGTTCCTGTCATCTAGAAAGTAACCTATGGAGCCGCTTCGACCGTATGGAAGGTTCAGGATCAGTGAGGTGAGGCTAGATGGAGGAAAATAAGCTTTCAAAAGATGTCAGCTTTTCTAAAAAAGGTTCACTAACCACTGAAAAAGTAGGAAAGCAGCCGGTAAAAGGGAAAGAGCTGAAGAACACAGGTTCTGGAACATTCACAGCAGCAGGGTAGGCGCATCAGCGTCTGCCAAGGACAATGTCTGGCCCCCCCAGCTTCTGGCACTGGTGGAATCTGCCGGGATCTGAGGAAATGCCCCAGAGAGGGGCTTTTGCTGGTTGGGACCCTCGCGCCAGGATGCCAGCGGGCCTGTGCCGATCTGCCCCTTGGCCTGCGTCAGTCCTCCGGGCAGGTGCCCAGGCAGCCCTGCCCTTCCACCTAGAGGTTGTCCCCTACCTGACCAGAAACACACACTCCAGGTGTCTCGGGGGGATCTGGTCTCACAGGCAGGCCCTTTGCTACAGCCCTGTAACTTGTTGCACATAGAGGCCTGATTGGCATGTAGGACGGGAAGCTGTAGCGCAGGGCCCTGCCTGCGGGTCACCCTGAGCCCTCCACGCCACACACGGGGGCCGCAGAGGCACCTGCCAGACGAGCATGTCCCATGGTCACATCAGGATGACAGCATGATGTCCAGGACTCTGGCCTCTGGGCTAAGGCAAACACCAACCTCTTGGTCTCAGTCTTCAGCGGCAGAATGGGGAGGATGAGACGCCCACGCCTGTGTGTGAGACTGGCAGTCTCTTGGGAAGCCTTGTGAAAACGTCACTTGACACCAGCCAGACTTCCTGACATCGTGCCGTTTGAATTTTGGTGACCTCTCTGCTCATGTGAAGGTGGTCTTTTGTTTTAAGAACACCCACTGCCTTATCACCTCTGTACTGGTGTGAGATGACACTCCAAGAGGACTCCACCTCTCTCTTGCTCCTAAGTGGGCCTCCATTGGCTGGTCCAGCCCCCAGGAACGTGCTTGAGACATAAATGAATAAATGAATGAATGATGCTCCTAGTGTATGCACTACCCATGGATGGGATAGGTGTGACCTGCTGCCACCAGGCTGACTTGGCTCCCATCTACCTCCAGGCACAGTCCTGGGCCCTGGCGCCACTGTCCAAGGTTCTGGACCAAACGCATGGCTGTCCCTATCACCTGGCCACCTGCCATGTTCTTTCTTTGTGGATCTTCTGCACCTTCTAGAAACACTTCCTCGGAAGATGGCATTGCCTTGTGAGGCCACCTTGCAGGTCCTCTTTCCTTGTCTCAACTGAGTGGCAGCGTGCATGCTGAGCTGGATGAGGCCTGAGCATTTCAGCCGTGTGAAAAGCTGTGTCCACTGTGGGGCACAAATATCTCCTCAGGAGGGTGGGAGGAGCTGGCAGATGGGCTGGGTGTCCACTGGTAGTCACCTGGAGAAATAACAAAAACAGCGCAGGCCAAAACCTGAAAACTCCCCCTATCCTGTCAAAGAATTGACGGTTTCATATCAACTTTGGAGAAAAACGATTTACTTACCAATGAGCTGAGTCTGAGGCCCTGAAGAAGAAAGCCCTCTGACAGCCTTTAGGAACAAAATGTGTTCCGTGTGACATGCTCATGAAGCTTGGGCAGCATCTCAAAAATGGCCTTATCGAAAATGGGAGACGATGTTCCCATGAGGCTGCGCTTTATAGCACCGTCTGTAACAGCAAAAGTCCAGAGACAACCTCAAGGCCAGCAACAGAGCCTGACTGAATGTACTCTGGCCATAAGGGACACCGAGGACATTCCCGGGACAGCACCAGGGAGAGGCTGCGGGAGGGAGGTCAGAAAGGCAAGGGGGGGCCCTTTACCAAACAGCAGGAGGGGGCAAAATACATGTGTGTATGTGCACATCTATCCATGTCTTTGCTTAAATTTTTAAAAATTGAAGGATAAACTATTAAAAAATTGTAAACTGTTCCCTTTACAGGTGGGGGGAATAAGGCCCCTTTGGATAGACTTCTCTGGGTATATCTTATTTTGTAGATTTGACTGGGAACCAAGCAAGTATTTCACTCAATTATCAAACTGAATTACATGGGGCTGGCAATCTCTATGCATCTGATGCTAAATGAAACAACCTGGCCGTGAGTAAACTGGCGGCATAACCACAGGTAAGCACTGATTTCAAGTGATGTTAAAGCAATCGGTTGACTGTATATTCCAGTGGGATTTGCCCTAAGGACAAGCAAAATCTGTTAAAACTGTTTAAAAAAATCTTAGACAATAACGAGTGTTAGTGAGGATGTGGAGAAACTGGAACTCTTTTGCACGGCTGGTGGGACGTAAACTGCAGCTACTTTGAAAAACAGGTTGGCAGTTCCTCACAAAGTTATCATAGAATTACCATATAATCCCCCAGTTCCACTCCTAGGTATACACCCCAAAGAACTGAAAACATACGTCCATACAAACACATGTACACAAATTTTCACAGTAGCATAATTCATAATAGCCAAAAAGTAGAAACGACACACACATCTATCGACTGGCGAATGGTCAAAGGTGGTCTGGTATTACTCAGCCTCAAAAAGGAATGAAGACTGACTTATGCTCCAACATGGATGAATCTTAAAGACATTCTGCCCAGTGAAAGAAGCAGGACACGAAACACATAGTTCAGATGTTCCTCGACCTATGGTGAGTTATGTCCTGACAAACCCACCATAACTTGAAAGTATCCTAAGTCGGAAATGCATTTAATACACCTAACCTTCCACATTCGAAGTACAGTTTCCACTGAATGTGTGTGGCTTTCACATCTTCATAAGGCCAAAAATCGCAATCGAACCATCTGTACGTGATTTTGTTCATACGCAGTGTCCAGAAGAGGCAAATTCATAGAGACAGAAAGTAGCTCAGCATTGCCAGGGGCCGGGAGGGGCTGGCACAGCCCAGGCTGCGGAGGCCGCAGAGCTCTGCATGGGCAGCTCAAAGAAGAGCAGCCCTGAAAGCCACTGAGCACACTGGCCTGGGCACACTGCCCTGGAGGACATAGCCACGTGCTGCCCCGGGGGCGCCAAGGCTCAGGAGGAAGGAGCGCCTGCCCTGGCCCCAAAACGCTCTCCCTTCCCGCGCTGTGCCCCTCCCACCCTGGCCTGTGCCTCTTCTTTGTGCCCAGCTTCCATGGCTCCTGGGGGCTTTTCCGGCCTTCAGCTGAGCCCCTCCCTTCCCTGTCCTCCCACCCTCTGCCTTGAGGCTGTGGACATGGCTACAGCCAGGATAGGAGCCCTGAAAGGCAGGGTCCTGGTTACAGGCCCAGTCACTCTGACGATGTGGCCACCTATGAACCAGCAGTGGCCGGGCCCAGCCCCTGCACTTCCCTCCCCATCTCCAATGCTGGGGCAGTAATCTGCTTTGTTCAGGATAAATCCAGGGGAGTGGGGAGCAAGGAAAGAGGGAACGGCCTTGGGTCCAAGGGGATGTGCCTGCATCAGGGTCCTGCAGACCCCCACCCACCACGTTCCCAGCCTCCTAGCTCCGAGGGGAGAAGAGGGCAGGGTGCAGGGGGAATGGAGGCTGAAGGGAAGTGGGGGAAGGGGAAAGCCCCTTGAGGGGCAGGGGCCTGGAAATATGGCCTGGGAACTGGCCGAGGGTGGTCTCAGGATCCCACCCGGGGCTCACACCAGGGTGGGGATGGGCCATGGCTGTGAAAGGGGGTCAACCAAAGGCTTGGCACTGTGCCCACGGCGCCTAACAGGCGCCCATACCGTCAGAAACAGGAGGGTCGGGGCCCACTGAGCTCACTTCTTGGCTGCCTAACTTCCAGCAGGGTGGGCTCCTCCACAGCCAACCTACTGCCTGCCACCCCAGCACAGACAACCACACCGGGGCTCAGGCCCAGCACCTGCTGGTGGCCAGGAAGCCCCAGGCAGAAACATTTCAATACTTTTGAGAATCTGCCAGCACTGAATGCAGAGAGGACGAGTCCAGTCCCTCAGCCAGACCAGCTCTTACCTGGAGCCCAGTGGGTGCTGAGGCTCCTCCTGGGCCACAGGTGTCCTGCCCATCTGCTCTCTGGCCTTGGAACCCTGCCGCTGACTGGTCACTTCGGCCTCTCCCCAAGACCCAGTTGCTGTGTCCACCTGGGAACCTGAGGTGTGTGCCAGGCACTTGTTGGAAGTGGGGCCTTTGGGCTCCCCGCTGGCGGAGGTGTCTTCTGCCGGCAGGGGGCCCTCGGGGACAGGCCAGTCTTCATCCTGCCTCTCGGGGCCCTTGCTGCCGGCCTTGGCTAAGCCGGTGGTGTAAGAGGCACTGATAATGCTTTCCGGGCTACACTTCTCCCGCAAATGCTCCACAGTGTCCTCCCTGCTGTCCCCGCAACTCCCACAGCACACGCAAGAATGAAGGAGGCAGTTGGTGGCCGCAGTGCTGAGTTTGTGGGAGCTGTCCTCCATGCCCTTGGTCACAGGCCCTGAAGGGGAAATGCTGAGGCCTGGGGTTTCCTGGGTGGCGACGGCAGAGTCCGAGGAGGTGGGCGATTTGGGATTGAAGATGACCGTGGCGGAGAGCTTCATGCCCCCCGTCCGGTGGGCGATCATCTCGGCTGTCTCAGCGTCGTCCGCTCCCACCTCCCAGCCGTCCAGGTACAACTGTGAGTCCAGGCAGCTGCAGGAGTTGGAGCCTGAGAGGCTGGCCACCTGCACGTTGTCATCCTCAGTGTTATTGTTGTTGCACAAGTCCTGCTCCTTTTCTGTGGCAAGAGCGCTGACCTCTGCCTCTCTGCTCTGGCCTCCCTGCCCTCTCTCCTGGGGGTCAGCCTGGGCACTGCCTGCCCACTCAAATGGACCCTGAGGGGACTTGGGCCTGGTGGGGGCTTCCACTGCACCCTCCACGTCATCCATGAAGAACACCCGTTCCTCTTCGTCACTGCCTACCTGCAGGCATGCTCTGCCCGGAGAGGCCTCCCTATGGGGGCTGCCCTCGGCTCCGGGCCTATGTGCAGGGGACTGGCAGGCACTGGGCGGCGAGAGCAGAGAGGACATCTCGTCCCCAGCCCTGTGGACCATGCGGCTGAGCTGCTCCAACTCCTGGTCATCATACTGCATGGAGCAGGCCAGCTCTGCCTCCGAGTTTCTGGCCTTGGTTGAGAGTGGCTCCTCAGGGGGTAGGGGTGCAGGAAAGGCAGGTGCCAGGGCAGTGGGCACCTGTGTGTCCACCCGGATGGGGAACTCCACATCCTGGGAAATGCAGAGGTTCCGTTCCAGCGTGTGCAGCTCCTCCTCGGTCAGTGTCTGCAGCAAGTCCCTGCAAGGGTCAAGACAAAAAACAAGAGTGAGAGTCCCAAAAGCCACACCAGCCTCCTTGGCCAAAAGTGGACACAGCACCCTGGAGTCTGCACTAGCAGGAAAGCAACCATGTGTTGAACACTTGCAACTCAAATCACATGGCACCGGGATGCTTCCTCCACTACAAAATGAGACACAGGTCCTGTAGGTCGGGACAACGGTATTCAGGGTGGCCGACTGTGATTCTAGTATGGTTCCTTTCCAAAAATGAGATTCTGGAACCTCTCGTTGAAAACAAGGAAGTCCTGATTCCTAGGGATGTGTTAACTGCATTAATAAAAACTCTAAGAAGTGAAAAAAAATGTGGGTTTACATACAGACTTTAATCCTTTTGTTCAACAAATACTATCAAGCACCAGCTACATGCCAGGCACTGGGCACTGAGGACACACAGGAGGAAGGCAGGCCTGGTCCTTGCACTGGGGGCCTCCAGTTGCGTGAGACAGATAACCAACAAGTATCTACATAAATAATGAATAATGACAAAGGAGGGCACAGCAGGACACCTGGCTTAGACTGAGCAGGCGTTTCCTAGAGAACGTGGCATTGAAGCTGAGACCTGAATGTGCAGTTAATTTAGTAACAAGGACCAGGAGGAGCCTGGAGCAGGCCCTATAGCCTGACAGCATGTTGCTCTCTACTGGGAAGAGCTCAGGCCATGCCTGAGGTCTGAGTCATATATTAAACAGTACAGTGCAATCATGGAACTGAGAGGAAAGCGTGCTTCCCACAACTGTCCAGCTTGCTGAATTTGCACCAAATGAATACACTCCTGTGAAGAGCATCCAGAGTCCAGATCAAGAAATAAAACACTACCAGCACCCCCGGCACCCTCACACACTCCCGTGTTACCACCATCCCGGCGCCAGGGGCAGAGGTGGTCTCTCCTGCTTTCATTCTCTGGAGAAATGGGAACTTGCAGGCTACACTTTTTTGTAGAAGGCTTTGTTTGCTGATATTATATTTGTGTAGAATCGCCTGATAAAATACAGGATGTCCAGTTAAATTTCAATTTCAGATGAACAATAAATGCGTATCTTTTCAGTGTACATATGAATAGTTTTTTAGTGTATGTCCCAAAGGGGGGCATTTGGACATACTTACGATAAAAGAAAGTATTCATCGTTTATCTAAAATTCAAATTGAATTAGGCTTTCTGCTGTTGTTGTAATGCTTGGTCTGGTAACCCTATTTAATAAGATTCATCCATAATGATGCACATTGTCATAGATCATTCATTCTCATGGCTACACAGTCTTTCGTTGTGTAAATATATCATAGTATGTTTATTTATTTATCTCTTCTACACCTGATGGGTTTTGGCTGCTGTGACCCACCACCTCTGGGCACCTCTGTTGAAGAACACCTCCGCCTTTCTGCTGAGTGCACACGCAGGGGCAGGACCCACTGTTGTGCCTGCCCACAGCCTTTGCTGACAGGTCTGCTTGCCCCAGGTCCTCGTGATACCTGCTATTTTTAACTGTATCCTTTCTGGCGAATGTGTAATGCTATCTTATTGTGGCTTTAAATTGCCTTAGCCTGATGACTAATGAAGTTGAGCACCACTTTTTATGCTTACCAGCCCTTAAATATCCTCTATGGGAAGCGCCTGGTCAAGTCTTTTGCCCATTTTTAACTGAGTTGTCTGCCTTTTTCTTATTGATTGATAAGAGTTCTTTATATATTTTGGATTTGAGTTGTCTGTTGGATATATCTTTGCCAGATATATTCTCCAACTCTGTAGCTTGCCTTTTCATTCTCTTACCGGTGCTTTTGATGAACTAAAGTTTTTAATTTGAATAAAGTCCAATATATCAAATTTTTTCTTTATAGTTAGTGCTTTTGTGCCCTGTTTAAGAAATCTTTGCTCCAATATCACAAGTTCTCCTTGATTTTTTTCCTCTAAAAGCTTTATTATTTTACTTTTCACAATTACATCTGTACTCTACATGGAATTGATTTTTGTATATGATTGTGGTAGGACCCAGACACTAATAGATATCTCATATGGATATCTCAGCCCATTTATTGAGAAAAAAATCAACCATTCTCCACTGTTCTATAATGTCATAAATCAGGGACCAACTGCATGTGCATTGGTCTGTTCCTAGACTTTCTATTCTATTCGATGGGTCAGAAGTCCATCCTTTGGCCAAGCGCAGTGGCTCACACCTGTAATCCTAGCTCTCTGGGAGGCCAAGGCAGGAGGATTGCTTGAGCTCAGGAGTTGGAGACCAGCCTGAGCAAGAGTGAGACCCTGTCTCTACTGAAAATAGAAAAATTAGCCAGGCATGGTGGCACATGCCTGTAGTTCTAGCTACTCGGGAGGCTGAGGCAGGAGGATTGCTTGAGCCCAGGAGATTGAGGTTGCAGAGAGCTATGATGATACCACTGCACTGTAGCCCAGGTGACAGAGTAAGTTTCTGTCTCAAAAAAAAAAAAAAAGAAAGAGAAGAGTAGAGTAGATAAATAATGTTCTGCTCCTTCTTCTTGGCTATTCCAGGCCCCTTGTATTTCCATATGAATTTCAGAATTAGTTTGTCAATTTCTGCAAAAAAAAAAAAAAAAAAAAAAACAAACAAATAAGCCATCCTGGGATTTTGATTGAGATTGCATTGAATTCATAGATTAATTTGAGAATAACTGATATCTTTACAATATTAGATTTTCCACTCCCTGAATGGAATTGTTCTCTAATTAGGGCTTTTGAAATTTATGTCAATAACATTTTATAACTTTCACAGACATCTTTAATATGATTTATGCTTAAGTATTTGATATTTATTGATACTATCATAGATGGCATTTGCTATGGTTTGGATGTGGTTCATCCCCATCAAAACTCATGTTGAAATTTCATTCCCACTGTGGTGGCATTGAGAGGTGGTGCCTTTAAGAGGTGATTAGGTCATTAAGAGGATTAAAATCTTTCTCATGAGACTGGATTAGTTCTCTAGGGACTGGATTAGTTACTGCAACAGCAGGTTATGATGAAGCGAGGCTGCCTCTCATGTTTGGTCTCATTGTGTGTGCTTGCATCCCTTTCCACTTCTCCTCCACGTTATAGCACAGCACGAGGCCATCATCAGAAGCTGACCAGATGCAGCTGCCTGATCTTGGACCTCCCAGCCTCCAGAATCATGAGCCAACTAAACCTCCTTCCTTTATAAATTTTTATTTTCCTTTTATTCTTGCCTTATTGAAGTTGGCAGGCCACCAATACAATGTTAAATGGAGATGGTAGACAGTAGACACCCTCATCTTGTTCACAATCTGAGGGATATTTGTTGTATATACACACATATACACACACATAGATATGCACAGACTATATCTGTATCTATATCTATCTATAAGTCTTTTTATCAGATTAAGGAAATTCCCTTCTATTCCTAGTTTGCTAAGAGATGTTTTCATCATAAAATAGGTGTTAAATTTTTTCAAATGCTTTTTCTGTATCTTTCAAAATTATATGATTTTTCTTCCTCTTTGAAAAATTAATGTGGCAAAGAAAACTATAGGCCAATAACTCTGAGGAACACAGATGCAAAAATCCTCAACAAAATACTAACAGACTGAATTCAACAACACATTAAAAAGATTATTCATCATAATCAAGTGGGATTCATCCCAGGGATGCAAGCATGTTTCAACATACACAAATCAGTCAATGTGACATCATATCAACACAACAAAGGACAAAAACTATATGATCATTTCAATTGACGCTGAAAAAGCATTTTATAAAATTCAACATCCCTTCACATAAAAACTCTCAAAAAACTGGGTATAGAAGGAACTTACCTCAACATGATAAAAGCCACATAGAACAGACCTACAGCTAGTATCATACTGAATAGGGAAAAAACTGAAAGCCTTTCCTCCAAGATCTGGAACAAGACAAGGATGCCCATGTTCACCACTATTATTCAACATAGTATGGGAAGTTCTAGCTACAGCAATCGGACAAGAAAAAGAAATAAAGAGCATCTAAATTGAAAAAGAAGAACTCAAATTATCCTTGTTTGTAGATGATATGATCTTATATCTAAAGAAACCTAAAGACCCCAGAAAAAAACTGATGAACAATTCAGTAAAGTTGCAGGATACAAAATTAACATACAAAAATCTGTAGCATTTCTATACGCCAACAGTAAACAATCTGAAAAAGAAACCAAGAAAGTAATCTAATTTATAATAGCTACAAATAAAATAAAATACCTAGGAATAAACTTAACCAAAGAAGTGAAAGGTCTCTATAATGAAAACTACAAAACATTGATGAAAGAATTTGAAGAGGACACACACAAAAAAGTGGAAGGATGTTTCATGCTCATTGATTGAAGAATCAATATTATTAAAATGTCCATACTACCCAAAGCAATCTACAGATTCAATGCAATCCACATAAAAATACCAATGACATTCTTCACAGAAATAGAAAAAATAATCCTAAAATTTATATGGAACCCTAAAGACCCAGAATAGCCAAAGCCATCCTGAGCAAAAAGAACAAAACTGGAGGAATCACATTACTTGACTTCAAATTACATTACAGAGCTGTAGTAACCAAAAACAGCATAGTACTGGCATAAAATCAGACATATAGACGAATGTAACAGAATAGAGAACCCGGAAATAAATCCACATATCTATAGAGTTTATCTTCAACAAAGTTGCCAAGAATATACAGTGAGGAAAGGATAGTCTCTTCAATAAATGGTGCTGGGAAAACTGGATATCCATATGCAGAAGAATGAAAGTAGACCCTATCTCTTGCCATATACAAAAATCAAATCAAAATGGATTAAAGACTTAAATCTAAGACCTGAAACTATGAAACTATGAAAAAAAAAAAGAAAACAAACACTGGGGAAATGCTTCAGGACATTGGTCTGGGCAAGGACTTCTTGAGTAATACCCCCAAAGCAAAGGTAACCAAAGCAAAATTGGACAAAT